GGGGGAGTGGGAAAAAGATAAATTATTTGAGAGTGCTGCAGGTGTAGCATTGTCCTCTGGTTTGATCCACGTCTCTGTCAGGGCCATGAGGTTTAGTCTTGAATGACTTGTAATAGAAGTAATAAAATCTGCTTTGTTTACAGCAGACTGGCAATTCCAGAGACCAATAGAAAAAGAAAATAGTGTATTAGTAGACATAGGCAAAGTGCGCAGGTTGTTAGGATTGCGCTGCCTACAGTGTGTGATGCATGGTTTGCGAGTGGTAGTGATAGTAGGGATCTGGAAACATAGTAAGAATTGGTTATAATAACTGAAAACAGAAGAGGAACAAGTAGTAGGAAAGAGAATGATTCAGAAGTGATACTTATGTGTCTTGTCGGTGTCCCTGCTCGGTGGAGTCGAACGGTAGAGTCAATGGTCTTTACACTCTTCGGTCTTCACATGATGAGAGCTTTACACTAGGGCAGCCGCGGTGTACTAAGCTTTTTATATTCGTCTAACAAAACTCAAATTAAATTCAGCTGGACACACGTTCCTGTTTATCACACCAAATGGCCAAGCAAAGCGCATGACACTGACAAGGTACGCGATACAGTATGAGACCAAACGCGATTTCAGCACGTCTCCACAGTAAACAAAACAAGCGTTTCCTAGCAACGACAACTGCGCTAAACACTGAGACAAGAAATAAATACACTTACAAGCTGCTTTTAACTTCTGCTGATTGACTGCTTCTCACAAAGAGTATTTCTTTACACTGTTTTGCTGGAGCTTGAACACACTTTCCTGTTTATCACACCAAATGGCCAAGCAAAGTGCACGACACTGACAAGGTACGCGATACAGTACGAGACCACACACTTTTATTTATCCATTTATCCAACTAGTTTACTTGCTTAATTTTTTTTACAGTATGTTTATTTTTAAAAAAAATAGTGCAAAATTTCCAACATCAGCCTAACAGATGTTGAAAACAGATATTGTTTTGTAGATTGTGTTTTTTGATAAGGCACGGATTCGGTATGAAGCTGTGTGTACCCAGGGAATTAATACAGAGAAAATGTAATCTGTGTGTGAGGGAAGGTGTTAGAATATTGTACTAGGGGAGAGGGTTCAGCAGGTCTGGCCAATAAGGCCAGGTGCACAGCTTTATGATGTGTTGACACATACAGATATTGAGTTTGAGTCTCTGAATACCAGATGGAGAGAGAGAAAGAGAGAGAGAGTTGATGTAGAATGAAAAATGAACAAAGGAGATCAAATGAACTCTTGGTTTTCTCTAGCTGTTCATTCTTGCTCTGTAATCTGGTTGCTTTTGGAGACTGTTCAGTCAATGCAAAACACATCAGGTTCCTGCGTACCCCACCTCCAAACACCCCCAATACATTTATTTCAGTTCATTTTATTTTCCTCTAACTGCAAATATACTTAAACTCTGACTAATACAAATAAGTTGATAATAATTTTTTGTTATGGCCAATAACTGATAAATGGCCAATATTAAGTTCTGTACTATTTTGTCTGAAAAAAAAAATTCTCTCATGACTCATGGCGTGGTAATGTACATGACAATGTTAATGTATTTGGTCTTGACGGAATAGATCTGCTACGCTGCTGCTGCCGAGACTTGCTACTGCCAATACATCCACAACATACTGCTATGAGCATATATAACATACATGAAATAACCCCCATATAGCATACATGAATCACCTCGTAGCAGATCTATACAGGTGGAGCTGGGGAAGGTGGAGGGTTTCTGAAGCACGCTGCAAACGGTTACAGCAAACACTAGTCATATATTTGAATGTTGAGCAGCGAGCTCATTGGCTACCGATACAGGAGAGAACCAATCAGCTGTGCCATGTGATAATGATGTCATTAGGTCAAATTGAGTTAAACCTATTGGACTGCGCCATCTAGAGTTTCATGCCAGAACTCTGTATATATACATATAAAACACACAATCTGTCTAACACTAAAATATAGTTTTTGAAATAAGGCTATAATTATTTGATTGAAAATGCAGGGGAAAAAATGAAATAAGGTGAAATATTATTACAATTGAATATAAGTGTTTTCTATTTGAATATATTTTAAAATGTAATTTATTCCTGTGATGGAAAGCTGAATTTTCAGCAGCCATTACTTTAGTCTTCAGTGTCACATGATCCTTCAGAAATCATTCTAATTTGCTGATTTGGTGCTCAGCATGGTAACAATTGTGCTGCAGAACAGCATTTATTTGAAAAAAAAAACATATCTTTTGTAATATTGTTTTGTAACAATCAATTTAATGCATCCTTGTACATCTGAATATGTATTTGTTGTCTGTTTGCTCTGCAGGCTGTCGGGCAGACCCATCTCCGTCAGTACCCTCCAAACCCCACCATGGTGATGCGCTCCATCATTAGCATGCATAACCCCAATGGCATGATGTCACAAAACCAGCTTACCACCATCAACCAGTCCCAGATCAACACACAGCTGGGGCTGAATATGACCAGATCAAACATTGCTCACACATCCCCATCCCCACCCGCCAGCAAATCAGCCACACCCTCTCCCTCCAGCTCTATTAATGAAGATGATCAAGAGGAAGGAAACAGGGTGAGTGCCATTTAATCCACATAATGTTTTGTGCAGTGTTTTCATCATAACATTTAATTGAGAATTAAATCAACGTCCAATTAGTGAGATTTTATAACAAGCTGCCTTCTCTCCATCAGGTGATTGGTGAAAAGCGTCCCGCCCCTGACGCAGGTAAGAAGCCTAAGACACCCAAGAAAAAGAAGAAGAAGGATCCCAATGAGCCTCAGAAGCCAGTGTCTGCATACGCCCTGTTCTTCAGAGACACCCAGGCGGCCATTAAAGGCCAGAACCCTAACGCCACGTTCGGAGAGGTGTCCAAGATAGTAGCTTCAATGTGGGATGGATTGGGAGAGGAGCAGAAGCAGGTATCAAACGGCAATCCTGTGTAATAACAAAATATATTTTTAACCTCACAAAGAACACCATCTGTAAAGTTCTGTAAATGGAGCTGTCTGTTCTGGAGTCTTCTCGCTCTAGCTAGTATAACAAATGTTCTTAATTTCTACTCTCATTTTTGCACAGAATGATTTTTGTCAGGTGTTTTAACAGAGTGCTTGATATTTTCACCCTTCTTTAGTTTTTATTACCGGCTGAGATAAAGCCTGCAGGCTCTCCCTGTTGTGAAGAGCATGCTTGCCAGTCAATGTTCTGCTAATTATCTGTTTATCACACCTCACGTATTCTGTTCTCCACAGGTTTACAAAAGCAAAACAGAAGCAGCAAAGAAAGAGTACCTGAAAGCTCTCGCAGTGTACCGCGCTAGCCTTGTGTCAAAGGTGAAGATGTTTTCTGTTTAAACAGCTCTCCGTCTGTCAGTTTTTTTTTACTCCATTCTGACTACCTCTTACTGTGTTGTCTTAATTTTTTTGCCATTCATCATGTTTTCTAATATATTTCTATTTACCTGTATCCTAATAATAGTTCAGCTAAATTTCAGGTTTGATCGCTTTCACCTTAAGTCTTTAATCACTTTTAAAAGATGAGACCTTCTACACAAACGTGATGAGACCTTCTAAACGTTTCAATGTATGCACCGAATGTAGAACTGACAGCTGAAAGGCAATTGAAAACAGCAGTTCTTCTGTAACTAAGAGAAGTGTTTATTTCTTTGTGCATTAGTTAACATTCACTGATCTTCTCAAACTGAACTTCTAAAAAACTGCTGGAAAGGATTTTAAAGTAGGATTTTCCATACACAAAATTCTCTTGCATACTTAAATGTGACTGTGAATGTGTTTGTTCCATCACACTAGAGGTGTAAAAATAGCATTAAAGGGTTAGTTCACCCAAAAATGAAAATTTGCTTGTGTTTTACTTACCCTCGAAGCATCCTAGGTGTATATGACTTTCTTCTTTCAGACGAATCCAGTCAGAGTTATATTAAAAATGGTCTTTGATCTTTCAAGCTTTTCTCTCACTTCCGTTATCTATCATACACGGATCCGTTCCGGTGGAAGGCCGGAACTTTAGCAAAGGAAAACCAGTCTCCTCTTGGTTTATATCAAAATCCTCCGACATTTTTCTTTGCAAATCTTCGGTTTGTACTTCTAATTCGTGACCGGCGTTTTGTTTTGTTCTATCTCCGCATTCGTCACTAATCACGCAATGTCGTGCGTCTTACGTCATCCACCGGAACTGCTTCAGTGGATGACAGTCAGCGGAAGTGAGAGAAAAGTGTTTATTACGTTTGAAATATGGATATTTTTCTTACAAAAACTCATGGATTCGCTACAGGAGGCCTTTATTTACCCCTCGGAGCCGTCTGCGGCACGTTTATGAATGTGCAAGCTTTATTTGACGACTTAAGGACTGTTCAACTGCAACACCCGCTGAGTGCCATTAAACAGCTTGAAAGATCAAAGACAATTTTTAATATAACTCTGACTGGATTCGTCTGAAAGAAGAAAGTCATATACACCTAGGATGCTTCGAGGGTAAGTAAAACACAAGCTAATTTAAATTGTTGTGTGAACTAACCCTTTAAATACAGCATGAATTAGAATGAGATATTCTTATGATTCATCATGCCTCATTATCTCGCTGTATCAGCCAGGCAGTCGGGAGCATTTGCATATTTGTTGCTTCTTGTAAAAAATTAAGATCGTTTTACAGACAGTTTAGCGGTACTGTATGTTAAAGTCCAAGCAACTCAGATACTAGAGATTTATGCTACATTTATTACACCAGCATCACATTGCATTGAGTAAATTTATTAAGCTTTTTTTTTTTTTCAGAAATTCTGAATCACAAAGTTTGTTATTTTCAGTGTGGAAGACTTATTTCAGATCTTTTCTACTAGGCTACTAAATAATATAAATTCCCCTCTTGGCAAGTTCTTTAGATCACAGAATGTAAGACAACAGCAATTTTCTCTGAACAGTTTTTCTGTCGAGTCAGTCACCAGATCAGCACTAATAAAGGAGAGGGCACTGCATAAGAAAGAATCTGTTGAGTACTAGAATTCATTTGACCACTCGCTATTTCTGTCTCAGGCTGCCGCAGAGTCAGCGGAGGCCCAGACGATCCGCTCGGTGCAACAGACCCTCGCCTCCACCAGCTTGTCGCCAGAACTCGTGCTGCCTTCCCCTCTATCCCAGCACCCCTCGATGTCTGCCGCAGCACTGGCACTCCAGCAGGCCCTGCCTCGAGCCATTTATTAAGCTTTTTTTTTTTTCAGAAATTCTGAATCACAAAGTTTGTTATTTTCAGTGTGCAAGACTTATTTCAGATCTTTTCTACTAGGCTACTAAATAATATAAATTCCCCTCTTGGCAAGTTCTTTAGATCACAGAATGTAAGACAACAGCAATTTTCTCTGAACAGTTTTTCTGTCGAGTCAGTCACCAGATCAGCACTAATAAAGGAGAGGGCACTGCATAAGAAAGAATCTGTTGAGTACTAGAATTCATTTGACCACTCGCTATTTCTGTCTCAGGCTGCCGCAGAGTCAGCGGAGGCCCAGACGATCCGCTCGGTGCAACAGACCCTCGCCTCCACCAGCTTGTCGCCAGAACTCGTGCTGCCTTCCCCTCTATCCCAGCACCCCTCGATGTCTGCCGCAGCACTGGCACTCCAGCAGGCCCTGCCTCGAGCCATCGCCCCAAAACCTCTGCAAATGCGTGTCGGCAGCAGCCAGATTGTCACCTCGGTCACGGTAGCTCATCAGAACATGACGGCCGGCGGCGTTCAGTCGCAGCTGCTGGGGCAGATGGGAGCGGGCGGTCCGCAGTCAGGCATGTCGTCGCAATTGAGTCCGCCAATGCAGCCCCGGCACGCTTCCATGCAGCAGCACTTGCAGCACCATCAAATGCAGCAGCAGCAAATGCACCACCAGCAGATTCAGCAGCAAATGCAGCAGCAGCATTTCCAGCATCACCTGCAGCAGCAGCTTCAGCAGCACCACATGCAGCAGCAGCACCAACAGATGCAGCAGCAGCAGCAGCAGCAGCAAATGCAAATGCAGCACATGCAGCACATGCAGCAGATGCAGCAGCATCAAATGCAGCAGCATCTCCCGCAGTCGCAGTGTTCGCCCGTGCAGCACTCGCCCGGCACGCCACACTCGGCCTCTCTCGGCAGCCCACCGCCCCCTCCTGCGTCCCAGCCTCACCCCTCACAGGTACAGGCTCACGCGCAGGTCCTGTCGCAAGTGAGCATCTACTGAACCAAAAGCCCTCGGACCCGCAGTTGCGACTCCACAAGAAAGCCAGAGGGAAGTTGTCATTGAAAAGCATCGTTACAAGGTTGCTTTTTTTAAGTTGCACTTAAGAAGTGTGTAAGAAATATGAATGTTTTACAAAGAACTGTCCTTTGTTCTAGATGGATATAAGATATGTGTTAAAAGGACGAACCGTCTTAGCTGGATTTTTTGTCTATAAGATAGGCTGAGCTACCGGGAGGTCTGTTGATAGACTTGAGTGCCCAGTAGTCATTTGTATGTGTATTTAGTTCATTTGGTTTCTCTCTCTCTCTCTCTGTTGTGGAGTTTAAACTCTGTCAGAGCATGATGGCGTGGGAAGAACGTTCAGAGACGATCACAGAAACACCTGACGGTTTTATTTAACAGCTTTATTTATAAGGTTGGATTGGCTTTCACCACCAGACAAAATAGAAGACCGGATTTCTGTGGACGGGGAATTTCTAAAGAAGGCACTGTTTCGCAAAAGAGATTAACTGAACTGCTACTAAACTGGTCATCAGAGACATGCTGTATGGCTCTTGCACTGTCTGGCCAGTGTATCGACAAGTCTACCCTCTCTTCTTCCCTTTTCCATCATCCTTCTTGGCGTTCCCACGGATGAAACTGTTTAACAGTCACTGTTGGGAAGCTCTCAATCAAATCATCCTGCTTTTAGAACCAAGTGGTGTTTGACACATCTCATGCCGTGTTATCAAACAGGACATTTTCAAAAGATGTAAAACACTTGGCGTTTTGCTGGACTATTTGACACGCTTCCATAGATCATTTCAGTCATCACGTCTCCAAACACCTTCTGTGACCTGCTTTATGTGTTCTTAGGAAAGAGGAGAGAACTTTTTTGGAGTTCTTCTCTGGCCAAAACCATCAAAAGCGCATTCACTCCAACATATGTAGTAACAGCACTCCAAAAAAACTTCTTCTCTGTAATTATCTTTACCTCCGAAGTTTTATTGAATAAGTTATGTTTCTGTTTATTCTTTTGTGTAATGAAAACTTATGTTATGGGGGGGGGGGGGAAGCTAACTTACTGAATTTAGGCTGTTGGTTTACTGATTGGGGTATTTTTATTTCATAATACCCTACATTTCACAACAAGGGCCGTTAAATGGGAGTCTTATCAGATGTTTTTTTTTTTTACTATCATAGACAGGACATGGAAGTATTTTGTGCCAGCTGTAAAATAATCAGTGGTAAGATAAAAGAAAATGAAGTTGTACATTTTTCATACCTCTTGTTGTAAAGTTTTAATATGTGAGGCTTTAAATGCAGAAGTTGGCAAGCTGACCTGTCACCTGCTTTATCTCATTGTGCTCTTTTCTACTTTTTTTATGAGTTACAGTAGCAACAAATCATTTGTTTGTATTTTTGCTTACATTTCAAAATTAATTGCTTTTAAAAACCTGACAGTAAAATAAATAGTTCATGTCAGTTGAAAACTCCACCTGTTTTTAAACGTCATAAATGTCATTGATTAAGTTTTATTTTTGCCATCCAAAAAAAAAAACTCACAATAAAAAGAGGCATTCCATCATCTTCAATATGATACTAGCCATAATTTTGTATTATATTTCTCTGTGTCTCTCTGTTTGCAATTAAAATAATCAAAAATATTTATTTCAAGGAACTGATTCATTTGAAAGATTATATTAGCCATACTTTTGTATAAAATATTTCCTCAATGTGTCCTTGTTAGTTATGAAAGATTTAAAATAAAGACATCAGTACTTAAAATATTCTGTTGATTTGGGATATACAGTTGTATTTTTATTTATTTATTTCTTCAAATATGTTCTGTTTATGTTTTCCTTCATGCCTGTTCACAGCGATCTCCTTTTCCATGGTGTTTTACATTTTATAAATGACCCCTGAGCCCCCAGACACAAATATTTCTGGGGGAAGGTAGGATTTGCAAAAGGCTAATTATCATAAATGCACAATAAGCACGTGAGGACAGTGGAACGCCTTTATCTGCTGAGCGGCGCTGGTGTCTTACACGTTACGCCAGACAGAGAAGCCCGAACGCAACAGAAGGGAAGGAATCTGTGCATGCGCATATCTTGTTCCACATTAATAGAATTCTCAATCTGTATTTTGTACCCAATTAGTTAATTTTGAGAATGCTTGTGCAATTTGTATGAGAGAGGCTGCAGTGATTGGCTCTCGAGTCGGGTTTTGTGTCACAGAGAAGCCCACACTCTCACTCTTTGATTAATTGCAGCATCTGTTCTGTCAGAGGGTGTAGTGGAGAGGTCTGCAGGAAAACTGCAAGTAAATGCTGGCAACAGTCTTAAAGCGCCTATGATGAAATGAAAATTAAAAACAGCGAGTACCCCACATGCCCTGAATTTCAATGGCAAGAAGTGGGGAGAGAGAAGGAGGGAGAGAGCGAAGATTGCTAAGCATAGAATGTAAGAGTGGTGTCCATGGTGACCAAACACATCCTTTAAAAACAGCCGGTAATGAGGGGCCGGGAAATAGCGCTTATTATTCCAAACAGTCTCATGGAGGGCAGCATCAATAATGCATGCAGTACCTTGTTATTTGGTAAACCTTGTTATCCGCATGGTCTCAGTGAGGATAAATATCTCACAACAAGGGTTGGAACTCTGACACACCCCAGTGATGAATAAATAAATAACGGTTTGCAGATATTGTCCTAACAACAGCTGATGATGTTGGCACGCAAGCGATTGGGAATTAAATTGTGTGCCATTTCAGGGACAGAAGAAAAAACTGACCATCATCTAGACCTCATTTAAATTTCATTTTATATTTATATAATATATAATATACTTTCCATACAGTGCTATTTAAATGCATAGTTTATCTAAAAAGGAAATTTCTATCATCGTTTAACACGCTTATGACCCTGGAGCACAAAACCAGTCTTAAGTAGCACAGGTATATTTGTAGAAATAGCCAAAAATACATTGTATGGGACAAAATTATCGTTGTTTTTTTGTTTGTTTGTTATTTTGGCAAGAATCATTAGTATATTAAGTAAAGATCATGTTCCTTTAAGATATTTAGTAAATTTCCTACCATAAATATATCAAAACGGATTAGTAATATGCATTGCTAAGAACTTCATTTGGACAACTTTAAAGGCGTTTTTCTCAGTGTTTAGATTTTTTTGCACCCTCAGATTCCAGATTTTCAAATAGTTGTATCTCGGCCAAATATTGTCCTATCCTAACAAACCATGCATCAATAGAAAGCTTATTCAGTTTTGACCCTTATGACTGGTTTTGTGGTCCAGGTTCATATTCATCTATTCATCTATAGATAAAGAAGGATATTTCAGCTGTTTTTGTCCATATAAATAATAATATACATAATGTAGTCTTTTCTATGTTCCACAAAAGAAAGAAAGCCATACAGGTTTGGAATGACATGAATGTGAGTAATTAATGACAGAATTTATATATAAATATATATTTTAAAGTAAAATGTTGCCATAAATTCTTCAAAGCAAACATAAAAATCACCTTGACTAGAGAATTACCCTCCAGTAATAATATGGTGTCTGTCTATAGAATCTATATCAAACCACAGTCACATGATCGAACAGTAGTTTTATTGGATATAACCTAATATTCCACTGATATTCATCACTCTCTGTGTGTGTGTGTGTTTTAATTTAGTCTATGTTAAAGACAAAAAAGGTCATATGCACTGTGAATGTCCCATTTTTGTATACCAATCAATGATTGATTGGTGTCTTTCATTACCCTGCTGTCTGCACAGATTCAGTGGGAGCAGTGTGACTAAAGTTCTGTGTCCTGAGGCTGAGACTGTGACCTCAGTAGCTTGTGGTGTCTTTGACTAGTTTCCATCAGAGCATGAAAAGAAATGACCATAATTTTTATTATCATATCACATTTGATTATGCTGTGCTTTCTGCCAAATTCAAACCTGTAAGCCTGCTGTTGTGAAAAGACAATTTCATTTTTGTAGTTAGCGATCAAGCATTTTCTACCTCACTGAATCTTGTCAGTCTTATGAAATTTGAATAAATGTTTGTGATCGGTAATTTAAGGTAATCATTGACACAATTTCTTGGTTTCTGATAAAGCAATCACTGATAAAGCAGCTACATGACAGATGGAGAGTTTCTGGTTGTGGACATTGTTGGTGTAGCTTAGCAACAATAACCAAATAGGGTAGAACTTGAATAGGGCAAAGGTCATCTCTAGCCACGGAGCATCGGTAACACTGTCCGGTAGGCCATGCCATTAACAAAACGAAGCCCTTCCCACCCAGCTCCCAAATAACACATGCAACCTTTGACCTGACTTCAGACACCTGGCCTTGCAGTGAATGAAGAGTTTCACTGACTAGCTTTGGGCAAGATCCTGTTGATCCCTGGCAGCTTTTGTTTGCACAGTGTTGACCTCTCAGTGAGAGAGAGAACTTTCTTTAGGTGCTGTTGACCTGCTGGTGCTGCTGTGAACATTTGTATGAAAGATACCCCGGACTAAATGATCGGCTAACAGCTGGGTCTGAGGCCAAGTAAAGAACTTGACTTTCAAACGTTTGTCTTTTCTTTCTTTTATTTACTTTCTTTTGATTAAAAATACCTTTAAAGCAATATTCTACAACACTGTGATGCACTGGTTTGCTAATGAAATTAAACTTTAAACCCCTATAAAAATATTACGCTATAAAACACTCATTTGACTAGTTTTTAGATAGTGTTCATAATTTGTACACTAACTAGTATAACATTTATTACTCTTGAATTTTATATAATTTATGTAATTTTAATTAGTATTTTTTGTTTAGCTTTAATTCGTTTATATTTGTTTTAATTATAATAATTTTATGCTGTGCCACACAGAGCACCAAGGCTTATACTTATGGTTTTTTTCCTTCATATTTTTACTCTCTATTTATTTGTTATCATGCTTTACAGTCTTTCTGAAGAAAAATACTTCTTTTCACAAGTGTTGTTTTCACAATTAGTATTAGTTTGTATAGTTGATTGCCTTGATAGTGAGATGAACATCATACAGTATGTTTACTCAGTACAGTTACCACCAGCCTTTACTTTTTAACACCACTTTATCAAAGCAATGCTTCAGCCCGATTCCTCCCAAGAACAGATCAAATGAGTTTCTAACTGTTCCCAGCAGCCCTCTCAGCTCTGCCAGAAACAGCAGAACTGCACTAAATTGAAGTTTAAATTCCCAGAAAATAGTTTTCGCTAAAGCAGCATACTTATACGCACTTATTAATGTCAAGTGAGATTATTCTGTGAAGCTAAATTTCACGCCTCCGCTGGAACGACGAATACAATGAAGCCCTCAATATTTTAACTTCAGCTAGTTCATTCTATACAATGTCTTACATACAGTATTATGAACTTTCTGAATTTAAGTGAGTATAATTGCAAATTCTATTCATTGTTCTCCACAGCTAAACTCATTTGAATTTGCTGTCTTTGAATATACCAAGGTTACGTTTGCAGTACAGCACTCCAAAAGATTTTCTTCTTCTTAGCTCATAAATATTCCATGGAATATAGCACAGCAAAACATAGCACAGCCAACGTCAAGATATGCTATGAGATGTTCACAGACTTTTTTATTCCCTCAGTTTTCAGCTCTTGACCACTCTCAAAGTCCAACTCGGAGAGTTAAAGGTCATCAAACAAACAATCCTGCTTCAAAATCACTGGGGTGAACGAGCCCAGAAATACGATTCTGTTTCACCTTGCAGGCAGAAAAAAAGCCAGACGTTCTCAGGAAATCTCCAAACATAGTTAACTGTACAGTCATTATTTCTGAGGCCAACACAAACAATGTGATTTGGTATTCAGAACCAGTTTGCACATAGCTGGAATTTCTCAGCACTAATGTTCCCTTTCAGTCAGTCACGTTCTACGTTACGTCAGTCGTGACTGACGAATTGGGATCTCGCCCGAGAGCCCAATCACCTTCGAGTGTTAACTAAACAAGCCAATGACAGTTGGCGTGCGTGTTTCGCCACGCGCACCCCGCCCTGCAGCACGGGTATAAAAGGAGCACGCGTGCAAACGCACATCAGCTTTTCGCTTCGGAGCCGAGCCTTCTACAGGACGAATCTCCGCGAGTGTTCTAGAGAAACAGCTGGCATTTATGTGATGGCGTATCAGCGGGGGTTGCCATCCAGGCTGCTGAAACCTCCCGCAAAGTGCCGCCGCCTGGAGAGGTAGTCCACGCCTTCCGTCCAGGGCCTGTAAGTTCTAGTCCTGCCCCGGCAGTCTGCACCTTACCGCCGGCTGCAGCCCCTCTGTCTGCTCGTCGTCGAGGGTGCCCTCCTGCGGCCTCCACCTCCGCTTCGGCGCGGCCACAACAGCAGCCTTCACAACGGCCGCAGCGTGGAGCTGGCCGCAGGAAACCGGCGCAGCCCGCCTCCGCCCCTG